ATATTAAAATGCAGAAATATATGGACAGAACAGCTACCATAACACTAAAATAAAATCTTGAACTTATTGTGTGAAAAAGAGATTTGATTCATGATGTTCATCGCTGTTTGTTTTGTTTTTTTCACAGAATTTACATCAAGAAGGTACGTAAGTTTCCTGAGTTGGCTGTAGATACCAGTCCTACAGTAGATAGAAGGGCACTGCGTTTACAGCAAGACAGAGCGTTTGCAATACTGCGAGAAAAAGGAGATGATATCCAAGGTGTTGAAAGGTGAGCATCATTTTGTATCACCTTGCAATGTAGCTGTGTCTTTATTTTCTGTGATTGTTATGGTGGTATTAATTTATTTCTTATTTTTTATCTAAATATTTATGAATTTCACAATTCAAACTTAAACAAGATGTTTCTTTTGGCGATGGAATAACATTAAACATTATCAAATGACATCATTGCTTAATACCCTTAATAATAATTGACATTCCTCATATGTGAGTGATTATAATATAAAAAAAATGTTTTAATCAAATTAATAACTTAATGTTGATTTGCTTATTAATTACCATAACCTTGTTTCGTGCTGGACATGTTCTGTGTTCCATTATTTCTGAATTTGTTGCCAGTACAACTGACTTTATCATTTCTCATGATGAACACATTAACATTGGGTGCAATGTGCCCTCTAAGCTGATTTGCTGTGATGTAACTTGTTGTTCTAATTCACTGGTGTATCATTGACACAACAGAAATTGTACATTGATCTAGTGATCTTGAAAACAAAATAAAATAAGTTTAAAACGAAAATGACGAATCATAGCATTTTTGTTTGTGCATAAAGTTACTACATTCACATACAATTTAACTTGTTTCTTGAAGACCCCCCCCCCTGCCCCACAGTAAACAAACTGACTCAAGATGATTTTGGAGGATTCTATTTTGACTCAGGATCGACTCATCAGCAATTAAATAAATACTTCATAGTCTAATGTAATGTCATATATTTTCAGATTCTATGTTCAGCTTCCAGCCACCAAGGCACATGAATATCACGATGACCCACCACATCACATGTACCTAGGTGTGAATGTTCCATTAACAAGCCAACCATCTCCAGATATCAGTGCTAGAATCCATCCCAGGGTCGCTGATAAAATAAGACGGCTTGTCGCTGAAGGCATTCAAAATGAATACCAAGTCAGAAAAATATTAAGGTGAGGTAAAACAGATGAGATTGCTATAGAATTATTTATTTATATTCTTGGAGGGTGCTGATATATGTGATGTATTTGTATGACAGTATCGGCAACTATATTTTTCCTTGTTTCAAATTTGGTAATCATTGTGTGTCAGACAACAGGGTAGGTAATTTTCATTTTTACCATCCATACCAAAATGTTCCCAACCCTACCACATGAATACCAACCATATCACAAGGCTACTGATGAAC